CGCGCCTCATTTTTTCATGATGGGAAAATGTTTGACTCGGCGCCGTTGGCTCTGGATCTGCGCAGGTCACAAAAGCCCATCAAGCCCATCATACCCGACGCCTCCTCGCCGGCCGTCATCGCCTACACCGAAGGTACGAACGCGCACCACCGCAAACAGCTGCGGAAGTGTTGCTGACGTGGCAGTTGTTGAAAAACAAAACAAAACAAAAAGGTTCGAACGGCGCGCCCAAGGGTGTGGAGATCAGCCATGCGGCGTTGGTCGCGACGCAGGCCGGGCTGGTGCCCATGCTGGAGGCCGGCGGCGAGTGGGTGGTCGACTCAGATGTGTTCTACGCGCACAACACCTTCGCCTCCACGTTCCACTTCACGCTCCTCTTCACGCTCCTCGCCTGCGGGGCCACCATTGGCATGCCGTCCGAGGTACTTATCCTTATCTCTCTTTGCTGTTCGCACACGTCAGCATGACGTGGCGGCCTTCAAGTACAGCTCGACGACTGACACGTCGCACCACCACCACCACCACCACCACCACCACCACCACCACCACCACCACCACCACCACCAGGGCGACGAAAATCTGGCGGCTGACGTCGAGAAGCTGCGGCCCACCATATTTGCTGGCACACCAGAGTACGGCACTCACGGCCTTGAGGCTCGGATGAGGCGAGGCGGCTGACTCGGGCTTTCTTCCTTTCTTTCTTTTTCTCCATCTGGCTAGGGTGTACCAGCGCATCTATACTCGCCTCATGCAGCTCGTGGCCCAGTCCAGCACGCTCAAGAAGTGGATGTTCAAAAAAGGTATGTTTGATCGCACGCGCCGCACGACACGACACGACACGCCACACAACATAGAACACGCAACACGCAACACGGACCCTAGAAGCGGTCATGCTGATTCTCCGGACCATTCACCAGGTTGGAGCGCCAAGCGCGGGCGGAGAAGAGGAGGCACCGAAGGGGGCGGGGGCGTGTCGGTGTGGGACGGGCTGGTGTTCAACAACTTCAAGGCGTCCATGGGCGGCCGCGTCCGCCTCTTCCTCTCCTCCGACTACCCCCTTCCGCCCAACACCCGCCACTTCCTCCAGATGTACGCGCACCCCCTCTGTGCGCGTGCGGTGTGTCGTGTGTTGTACGTGGTCACTGACATCGCACAAATCGGCAGTTGCTTCAACTGCGCGGTGGTTGAGGTCTACACGCTGACCGAGGCGGTGGGCATCGTGAGCGCCACCAATCCCTCTGACCCGGCGTCGCTCCACGTTGGCTCGCCCATCGCCTCCCTTGGTACACACACAGGACACAAGACACACAACACACACGACACACACGACATAGTACCTTCGCTCACACACGCGTGAGCACACAGAGGTGAAGCTCATCGACGCCAAGGCGTTGGGGTTCGTCACGAGCCACAAGCCACCGTCGGGCGAGATCTGCATTCGGGGCATGTCCGTCGCACAGCGCTACCTCGACGACGACGCGCTCACGTACGCGACCCACGCCCAATTCACCGGGGGAGTGATTGCCTGCGGCTCTGCGCGAAAAAGGCTGACCGCCTTCGTTCGTTTGTCGGCCGCGACACAGAGATGCGGTGTTTGATGAGGACGGGTGGGTGCACACGGGCGACATCGGCACCTGGAACGAGAACGGCACGCTCACGCTCGTCGACCGCAAGGAGAACATCGTCAAGCTCCAGGGCGGTGACTTTGTCGCGTACTTACTCCTCTCACCTTAGATACCACACACACACACACACGACACACACACGACACACACACGACACACACACGACACACGACACACACACGACACACACATGACACACACACGACACATACACACACACTCACCCGGGGGGGACCGACGAGTGCAGGCTGGGCAAAATGGAGGGCCTGTACGCGCGATCACAGTTCGTGCAGCAGATCTACGTGCACGGGGACGACACCGAGCCGTGCCTCGTGGCCATCGTGCTGGTGCACCCGTCGGTCGTCCGCAGCTTCGCCTCCAAGCCCGCCGTGCGACATCAGTTCGAGGGCCAGTCGGAGGTGTCGGAGCTGATCGAGAACCCCATCATGCGCAACGTGGTCGTGGCCGACCTCCGCGCCATCGGCAAGTCGCTCGGCGTGCGAAGCTGCGAGCTGGTGCGGGCGGTGCACCTCGAGATCGGGGAATGGACGGTGGGCGAGGGCCTCGTCACGCCCAACAAGCGCCTCCACCGCAACGCCCTCCACTCCAAATACCGCGACGAGGTCCGCCATCGCTCCCCTTCACCATGTGTGTCTCGCGCGGCTCGCTAACAAACCGCACACACACACGCACACGCACACGCACACGCCACGCACACGCACACACAGATTGCTGAACTCTATGCTGAACTCAAGCGAAAAGCTCGGGAAGCGGTTGAGGTACGCTCCTCCCCCAATGCGACTTGGAAGACAAACTCTGACGATGGTGCGGCTTGCTCTTCTTCTTGTCTTCACAGGGTGAAGACGACATGCCCTCGTCGCCCTCTTCGTCTATGTCGAGCCCCAGCCGAGCTGCTGCTTCCCAGGTCCAGTTCAGCGACACCAGTCGGTCGGCGCCGTCGTCTGCCTCGTCCGCCGCTTCCTCGTCGTCGGCCTGTGCGTCCGTTTCATCGGCGGACAGCGACTCATACAGCGACAGTGACGACTCCTCATCTTAAAAGGTGTTGTCGCTCATTTTTCTTCCTTCCATCTTTTCACCCCATAATCAATGAACATAGGCATCTTCTTTCATCTACTTCCCCCCCCCACAAATCCATTTTCTCAATCTTTCGGATTGGAAGTGTACGGCGCCGTTGTTACATCTCGATTCTTGTTTTTATTGTTTTACCCACTCTCTACTCACCACTCTCTTTCTCTCTCGTTAGGGGGGCTTCTTAAGCATCCTCCTCCTTGTTGGCGTCGGCCTTGTCCTCAGGCTCGTCGGCGGCATCACCGTCACCGTCGCCCTGCATGTCCGAGGTCCAGAGGGTGAGGTTGTCCCTGAGGAGCTGCATGATGAGGGTCGAGTCCTTGTAGGAGTCCTCCGAGAGGGTGTCGAGCTCGGCGATGGCATCATCGAACGCCTGCTTGGCCAGCTGGCAGGCCTTGTCGGGGGCGTTGAGGATCTCGTAGTTGAACACCGAGAAGTTGAGCGCCAGGCCCAGTCGGATGGGGTGGGTCGGGGGAAGCTCGGTCACGGCGATGTCGGTGGCGGCCTTGTAGGCACCGAGCGACAGGTCGGCGGCTCCCTTGCGGTGGTCGCCCTGGGCGAACTCGGCGAGGTACCTGTGGTAGTCTCCCTTCCTGTTGATGTAGACGAAGCGACTTCGATTAGTCTTCTTCTACAAATTTCTCTTTCTCTTGTTTACTCGAAAGTGGAAGAAGGTGTAGTAACGTACATCTTGTAGTAGAAGACCTTGGACTCGCCGTTGGAGGACGAGGGGATGAGGTGGTCATCGAGGACGGAGAGGATGTCCTTGCAGATACCGCCGAGCTCGTTCTCAATGAGCGTGCGGTAGTCCCTTATCCGCTTGACCTGGGTCTCGTTGCCCTTGCTCTCCTCCTTCTGCTCGATGGAGGAGACGATGCGCCACGAGGCGCGGCGGGCGCCGATGACGTTCTTGTAGGCCACCGACAGGAGGTTCCTCTCCTCGACGGTCAGCTCGACGTTGAGGGTGGCGACGTTCTTCATGGCCTGCACCATCTCGTCGTACCTCTCGGCCTGCTCAGCGAGCTTGGCCATGTAAACGTTCTCTTCGCGGGACGCCATTGCTGATGTGTGGTCTACTGAGGAAGTGGAGTTGATGGTGGTATGTGAGTTCAAGTGGTTCAGTAAGATGTAGAGAGAGACCTCTGGCCGTACCTTGTGTTGTAAGTGGTAAAGTTGAAGTGGGACAAAACCGGTGAAGACAACGAACCGAAGCGATACCCGCCTCCTCTTTTGGTGCGCCCCAACCAAAACCGGCGGTTGTCCCGTCGGTGACTGTCGACACGGTGGTTGTCTGCGGCAACAGTCCTCCAACCGAATTCAAACCTTGTGGCCAATCCAGGCAACCTTTGTTTGTTTTCGAAATAGAACGAAATTTTTGTTTCTCTTTCGAAAAAGCCCTGACGAGACCTGTGCAGCTTTTGTGCAATCACAGGGGAAGCAAAAAAACAAAAGCTGAGAATTGGGTCGCTCGAAAGGAGGCGAAGATCAGTGATGGCGCAGCGCGTAACACCCGACATGCTGTCGGACTGGGATGCACACAAGGCGACCATGTACGGAAGAGCTTCGCCTTTTTGATCCTTCAAGCGCGCCCAACAAATCCCCCCCCGCGCGATGCAACCAAAATTGTGATCCTTCTCACCATTTTCACACAATCAGAGAGATCGCCCTCAAATCGCCCCTAGATGGCCCTAATGGTACGTCATTTATCGCTGCCTTGTGTCTTTCCAGGATTGTCTCATCTTTCATCGTTCTGCCGCCAGGAGCGGAGGAAAGGCGTAGCCTGCTGCGCGATTTGTGTTGGCACGCAGTGATGACCGATCGCCCAACCGTGGAGCAGGCCGTCGAGGCCCTCACCCACGCCGCCCCCGTACATTTTTGCCCTTCCCTGTGCGTGTGTCGTGTCGTGTGGTCGTGTCGTGTGTCAAGGTTGTGTACCACACAACATTGTGTGTGGTTCTGAGTTATAAGTGAGGCTCACTTCACGCGGTGCGCCGACAGACGAAAGAGTTTCACACCGCGCTGACGGATGTGCTGTGGCTGCTGACCATCGAAGCGCCCGAAGCCGAAACCGCCCCGGAGCGCAAGCGGCTGGTGGACCTGGTGCGACGCATCCACACCGGCGGGGCCGTGCCCGGCGCCGTCCTCAAGGAGCGGCTCGACCCCACGCTCATGGCCAAGGCCGGTCTCATCTCCCTCTCACACTTCCGAACCCGCGCCGTGCGCCTGCACACACGCGAATTGTACGTCGTCTCGAGCCCACGATCACGCCCCTCCCATCGATCAGTGTGACTCACCCCACGTTTGCCCTCCCCCCCCGGACGTAACAGTCTCGTGCAACAGAAGTTCAACCTGCTTCGAGAGGAGAGCGAGGGCTATTCCAAGCTCGTTACCGAACTCACCCGCTCCGAGGTACACACCGCACACACACACACGACACACACGAACGCACACTCACTGCGTGTGGTGGTGGTGCGACGATTGTCTGTTGCTCAGCTGTCGGAGAGCAACGTGGAGAGCGTGATCGGCACCCTTCAGTCGCTGGTGGGCTACTTCGATCTCGACCCCAACCGCGTGCTCGACCTGGTGCTCGAGGCCTACGAGCACAACCAGGACAACGCCAGCTACCTCCGCATCATCGCCCGCTTCCCGCGCGCCTCGCTGGCCCACCTCACCGGCTTCAAGTTCAAGTACCAGTACGGCGCCGCCTCGGAGGCGGACCCCAAGGGACCCCGGCCCGCTGGCCTGGCGCAGCCCTCCCAGTCGCTCTACCTCCTCGCCGCACGGCTCATCAAGCACAAGTTCATCACCATCGAGGACCTCTACCCGCACCTCCAGCCCGAGGACTCGCTCGCGGCCGAGGAGTACGCCAAGCGGTTTGAGAAGAGCAGCAGCAGCACGACCACGTCCATCACCACCTCGACCTCCACCTCCGCTCCCGCTCCCGGCCTGCTTGGCATCGCCCCTCCCGGCATCGTACGTCTCTTCGACACAACCAACGACACGACACGACACTCAACCTTCTTCCTCTGAACGAACGAACAGGGACTCGCAATGCGAGGCCTGGACGACGATATCGCTCCGCTGGCGCCGGTGGTGACCACCCCGACGACGGCCGCGTCGAGCTCCGCCGCGGATGCGAAGGAGAACCAGAAGCTGGGCCTCGTAGCGGCCCTGCTGGCCATCAACGACTGGGAAGACGCCGAGGGCCTGCTCATCCGTCTCGCCAGAATCGACCCCGCCTCTCACCCTCCGGTACCCCCCCTGCCCAGCGCCAATAACTCACGTGTCTGACGTGTGTCGTGTGTCGTGTGCGTCGTGTGTAGATAACTCGTGCGCTGTGCGAGAGGCTCCACCGGATGCTGGAGCCGGTGTACGCCCTGGTGCGGTTCGCGCCTCCGCGCCGCGCCGCGGTGTCGACGACCGGCGCCGCCGACGCGCTGACCGAGGACGATCTCGTCCGCGATTGGAAGTCGCTCAAGCGCGTCCTGTGCCCGGTCCTGCTGCGGCTGGGCCTCCACATCAGCCACGACCTCGTCCTCTTCACCAAGCTGTGCCGCGTGCTCAAGGAGTACATGAAGGTGGGCAGCGCCGGCAGCGCCGGCGACCTGTCCAAGGACGAGGCCTTTGCCGTCACCGAGCACATCGTCGTCAAGGTCCTCCTGCCCGGCCTCTCCCTCGCCGGCTGCAATCCCGGCCTCGCCCAAGAGGTACCCTCTCTCTACCACAACATGACAGCTCATGGCCTGGTGCTTACGGTTCGCTGCTGGACCCAGGTGTGGGACGTGTTGAAGCTGTTCCCGTACCAGACGCGCTACGACGCCTACGCCCGGTGGCGCACCCAGTGCGTGCGGGTCGGGCTGCTGGCGGCGGCCAAGGCCGAAGCCACGGGCGAGGCGCGCAAGATCCTGCGGCGCATCTCCAAGGACAACGTCAAGATGCTCGGGCGGCAGTTGGGCAAGGCCACCCACTCCAACCCGGCCGCCGTTCTCGAGACCGTCGTGTCCCAGGTTAAAACCCCCTTCACGACACGACACGACACGACACGGGCTAACGGGCCTCGGTGGGGACGCAACAGATTTGCTCGTACGACAATCTGATCGCGCCGGTGGTGGACGCGCTGAAGTACCTCACCTCCCTGTCGTACGACGTCCTTTCCTACACCATCGTCGAACACCTCTCGAGTACGCGCCCGCCGCACATTGTTATTGTTATTTATTTATTTATTTATTTATAATGTTATCAACCAATCGCCGATCATAGGTTCGCGTGACAAGGTCAAATCCGATGGCACGAGCGAGGCCCATTGGCTGCAGGGTCTGGCCACCTTCGCCGGTGCCCTCTACCGCAAGTACCCCGGTTCGCTCGAGCTTCACGTATGCCTACGTACCCTCCCCCCACACCACATCCCCCTCTAATCATGGCCATCGTGGCCTCGCTCGACAGGGCCTGTTGGAGTACCTGACCAGCCAGCTCGCGTCGGGCAGCTCGCTCGAGCTGATCATCTTCCGCGAGGTCATGGCCAAGATGGCCGGCATCGAAGGCGGCGAGGGCTCGCTCTCTGGTACTCTCTTTTTCTCTCTTCTTTTCTTCTTTTCTTGTTTCATTTCCTTAACTTGTGGTGGTGGTTGTGTGGAACAACAGACACGCAGGTGCAGGCGTTGGCGGGCTCGGAGCTGCTGAAGCAGGAGTCGTCGCCCATTCCGATGGCGCGCAACCTCAAGAAGCCCTCGGCGCGTCTGCGCGAGGCCCTCCTCAGCTCCAACCTCGCCACCTCGCTGCTCATCCTCATCGCCCAGCAGCGCGGGCTCATTCTCTACACCAACAAGGTAACCCCACCACCTTGTGGCCACAACGTCGAATGCAGACTGGACCCGGCTGACCGCACACACCGCCGCACACACCGCACACGCCAATGATGGCCTCAACGACGACGACGACGCACACAGGCTTCGCATCTCAAGCCGCTGGGCGACCTGTACGACAAGTGCCAGGAGACGCTCATCCAGTACACCGAGTTCCTCCAGGCCAACGTCACCCCGGCCACGCGCTACGCCGCGCTCTTCCCGCCGCTGCGCGACCTCGTCACCAAGTGCCACCTCGACCCCGAGTCCATCTTCGGCATCCTCCGCCCCGTCCTGCCCCAGCTCTACCCCGCCGACGATGGCGTCGCCGAAAAGGTCCACTTTTTCCCTTTTTATTTGTTCTTTTTGTTCTTTTAATTTAATTCTTGATGATTATTACAATTGTAATGATTTTTACTAATTATATAATTTTTTTAATATTAATAATTGTATTGCGCGTGTAGGACAAGGCGGCGGCGGTGCCGTCGGAGGCGCTGGTGAGGGACGTGCGGGACGTGTTCCCCGAGGCGATGTGGGAGAGCCTGAGCCCGCAGCTGTACACCACCTTCTGGTCGCTCTCGCTCTACGACATCGAGGTGCCCGCCGAACGCTACAAGGCCGAGATCGCCAAGCTCCGCGAGTCCCTCAAGACCCTCTCCGACGAGATCGTTCGCGACCCCACCACCGCCACCGAAAAGGTGCGTGTCGTGTCGTTGGTCGTGTCGTTGGTCGTGTCGTTGGTCGTATCGTGTGTAGCGGAGGGAGGACTGAACGCGGTGAGCAGAAGAAGGAGCGGGACCGCGTGCAGGCGGTGGTGCAGAAGCTGGAGGAGGACCTGGAGAAGCAGAAGGCCAACTACGACGCCGTCATGCGCAGGCTCGAGAAGGACAAGGCTCTGTGGTTCCCCACCAACAACGCCCGCTCGACCGCCACCACCATCGTCGCGTACGTGCCCTGACCCTGTGGGGTGTGTGCTGACGTGTGCTGCTGACGTGTCGCAATCGCAGGGCGCTTACGAAGACCTGCATCCTGCCGCGCGCCCTCCACTCCATGGCCGACGCCATCTACTGCGCACGATTCGTGCAGCTCCTACACAAGCTCGACACCCCCAACTTCTCCACCCTTCAGTACTTCAACAGCGTGCTCACCCAGGTAAGCCAGCATGTGTGCGGTGTGTGCGGTGTGTGCGGTGAACTTATGGGCGTGCGTGCTTGATAGGTGGTGCTGGGCATCTTCTGCTGTACGGAGGGCGAGGCGGTGCGGCTGGGCCGTCTGCTGCGCGAGACGATCGCGACGCTGGAGTCGTGGCGGTCCAACAAGGACGTCTACCTGCGCGAGTGCAGCTCCAAGCGCGGCATGGCCGCCTCCTTCTCCGACACCAGCAAGCGGGTCCCCTTCGACCAGTTCCCCCGCCTCCTCTACAAGTGGTACCTCCAGACCACCAAGGCACGCCCCCCCCCGCACACGACACGACACACGTCACACCGCACACGACACGACACACGCGGATTGCTAAACTTTGTGGTCGTCTTCTTTCAGGCGTTTACGGACTGCCTGGACGCGGGCGAGTACATGCAGGTGAAGAACGCGCTGCTGGTGCTGACGCGCATCAACGACGTCTACCCGACGCTGCGCCGCGCGCACGAGCACCTCGAGAAGCGGGTCAACCGCCTGCGCGACACCGAGGAGCGGGAGGACATCAAGCTCCTGGCCGCGCGCTACTCGTCGCTGCTGGCCCAGAAGAAGAACCCCGAGCTCGAGCGCCACCAGCAGCTCCTCTCCGAAGAGGAGTTCCTGGGCGCGCGCCTCGCCGCCCGCGTGCTGGCCAAGGACAAGGAGACCACCGAGGCGGCCGCGCCCGCAGTGGCGGCGACGTCGGCGGCGGCGGCGAAGGGAAAGGAGAAGGAGACGCAGCAGCGGCCGCCGCTGCCGTCGCTCAAGGAGGCCCTGGCGAGCCCTGCCGCGGCGAGGACAATCGAGCGCGCGGCGGAGGCTGCGCCCACCAAGCGACTCTCGGCCACGGCGCCGCCGTTCCACCCCGCCACTGTCAAGTCGTATGCGCACCCCCCCCCCGTCCTGCGTCACATGCCACACACCACACACGCTCACCGTACACGCATGTGTGACAGTGAACCGAGGAGCGAGAGCTCGAGGCAAGAGAGGGAGCCGGGCGAGATCGTCAACGGCGGCGCGCGCGAGAGCAGCAGCATCTCGACCAGCGGGCTCAAGCCGCGATCGACGTCGGCGGCAGCGGCCGCGATCGACGAGGCGGTCCGCGTCCCGCGCCCGTCGACCCAGAGCTCGACGGCGGCCACCACCACCAGCAGCAGCAGCGCGCCGGCCTCCAAGTCCACCACTGAGTCGAGGCGCAGCGCAGTGCCGGCCGTGGCGTTGCCCACCGCCCCGCTGGTGTCGGTCAAGAAGGAGGAGAAGGAGAGGGAGAGGGAGAAGGAGCTGCCGGCCGCGCTCGTGGTGCCGCAGCACGACGAGCCACTCGCGGCGGCGGCGGCCAAGCGATCGACCCCGCGCGGCAGCAGCAGCGGCGATGATGGCAGCAAGCCTGCGAGGCGCAGCGAGTCGTCAGACGACCTGAGCGCGAGCTCGTCATCGGATAAGACGCGCAAGCGACGGAGCGACAGAGACGCGCGCGAGGCGAGCAGCGGTGGCGGCGGCAGCAGCGCCAAGGACGACAAGGACCGCAAGGACGCGGGGGGTGCCAAGCGGCGACGCACCACGCCCGACGGCGGCGAATCGCCGAAGGAGCCATCGCCAACGACGCGCAAGGAGCTCCCGCACCTGACCGCGACTGTCAAGCGCGAGCCCGCCGATGACCGCGAGCCGAGCAGCAGAGACAGCCGCGCTTCTTCATCGTCGTCGTCTTCTTCCTCGTCCAAGGCCAAGGAAAGGGAGCGCGAGGAGCCCGACATCAAGCGACGCAGGGTGGCGAGAAGCAAAGACGATTCTTCTTCGTCAGCCAGCAGCAGCAGCAGGGCGTCGTCGTCGTCGTCGTCGTCGACATCTGCGTTGACACCATCATTGCCATCGGCGTCTTCTTCGAGGGACAGTGAGCTGCCTGTGCGTACGGTCCGCGGCCGAGGCGAGTTCAAGGCACGGGATGAGAGACGAGATGAACGCAAGCCACGCCGCAAGTAAGATTTGTTAAAATGGAACGATTTGTGTTTCATGAAAACTTTGGCGCGCTGAGGGATAAAACCGGGCGGGCGAATTTGTTGATTCTTTTTCAACCGACATAGAAGATGCAAGGCAATGAGGAGATATGGGTGATAAATGATGAAGGAGGAAGAGTTATGCTTGAGCTCACTCCTGCTCTGCGTAAGCTGACTATGATGGAAGCCCAAGGGCCCATCTGTGCCCACTTTCTGGAGAATTGTGGCATCAAGTACGCCCAGTACACACCACTTGAAGAATGCCGAACAACCTGCCTTGTCTACCAACTCCCACCAGGCCATGGGCTGACCGAGGATGAGACAAAGCAACTGACCTGCGAGGAGGTCGCCAGGAGAGGTGGCTACCTTGCCATTTATGTCATGAAGCGAGAAAGGCCTGATGCTCCTTGGAATCGAGTGCTTCAAGCAGAAGCAAGACGAGGCATAAAGCCTCTTTGGATTTGAATTTTGTTGGATCCATCTGATTGATTTTTCAATTTACAGGCCTCATGCACACCCAGCTTTGCCCTGCCCAGACAGCAAGGCACATGGCGGAGAAGGACGCCCTCGAGGTCGAGAAGGACGCCCTCAAGGTCGAGAAGGACGCCCTCAAGGTCGAGAAGGACGCCCTCAAGGTCGAGAAGGACGCCCTCAAGGTCGAGAAGGACGCCCTCAAGGTCGAGAAGGACGCCCTCGCAGGTGCAAACGACATCCTCAAGGCCGAGAACAATTTCCTGCTGGCGGCCGACAAGCCCAACCCCCAAGCCCTCCTCTTCCAGGCCCTCAGCACACTTTCGCAGACCTTAAAGGAGACCACCGACGCCCTCGCGGCCAAGGTGGATGCCCTCGCGGCCAAGGTGGAGGCCGTTCAGGCCGACACGGCCACCCTCAAGGCCGACACCGCCACCATCAAGGCCGACACCGCCACCATCAAGGCCGACACGGCCATCCTAAAGGCCAAGGTGGGCGCCCTCGAACTGCGTATTCGGGCTGGGATGGATTGATGGAGTCGTCGAGATGCTCCGACCCTGCCTGCAAGGACGAGACTGCTGTGGCTGAGGACAGGTGAAGTGGCTCTACAAGGATGTGTGTGTACAGGAGAACAAAGAAGTTGACAATAATAAGTTTCTGAGGCTTAGCCGTAGTGGGTGAAGGTGGGCTGCTTCTGCCGCTGTCCGTTGGGCAGGAAGATCGACTCGTAGACCGTCTTGCTCATCTGCGTGGCGGCGGCGGTCGCTGCTGCGGTCTTGGCCGCCGCCGCCGCAGTCGTGGCGGCCACGCGTGGCCTCTTTGCCGCTGCCGCCGTGGCCTTCTCATCGCTCTTCTTGTTGCTCTTCTTGTCTGCCGAGGCCTTGGTCTTGTGACCTTGTTCGGGCTGCTTCCTCTTGCGTGTGTCATCACCATCGTTGCCCTGCTCCTCCTTCATCTCGGCTGCTCCGTCATCGGCCGCGGCCTTCTCGCGTCGCTTGCTGCTCTTCTTCGTGTGGGACTTGGCCTTGCGCAGGCTCTGCTGCTGTGCCTTCCACTCGCGCAGCAGCTGCTCGGCGAGCTCGGGCGGCGGGTTGAGCGGCAGCACGTCGGTCTCGCTCGAGAAGGGCTTGCGGCACTGCAGGCACTCGGCGGAGGGCACCTCACGCAGCGCGCGCTCAGACAGGACGCACCCGCATCCGCGCAGGGCAGCGAAGCCGCCGTGGCGGCCGTTGGCCTGGATGGCGGTCACTGGGCAGGCAAAGCGCGCGGCGCCCTCGACCTTGCCCCACTCGGGATTCTCAGCCCAGTTCAGCTCGAGCAGATCCTGCATGGTCCACAGTTAGAATCGAGGTTTGTCATTGATGCGAAATGAAATCTGAGTGAATTTGGATGCAAAGATGTAGGGGCAAATGCACCTTCATGCCCTTAATGTAGGAGAAGGCAGAGGGAAGAGTCTTGTGCAGGAGGTGCGTAATCACGGCCTCCTTATTGAACAGCTGGCCCTGGGGGCAGGCGACGATAGGGGGCGTGAGCGGCTCCTTGGAGAGGGCGCACAGAGTCCATTTTACTCGTGTGATCTCGTTCGGATCGGCCCGCTCCTGCTTCTTCTTGGTCTTCACCAGCTCGCACCGTGTCGGAATCGATCCTCCATCACAACCCATCTCTCTTGCTGTTCTTGATTGATCAAATCTACATTTTTTTCGGACTGCTTTTCTCTTTATGCCTTTTTCTCGCACTTTTTCCATCTTTTTCGTGCTTAGCTATTTCCCAGTTTGCCAACACGGGGCAGTTCGCCAAGACGAAGAAGAGAGACGCACACGTACAGGCACGAGCGCACACGTCTTACTTGGCGCTGAAGAGATGGGCACTGCGCAGAGTCTGCGCGATGAGCCAGATCTTGCCGTCGATGCCCTCCCCCGACGCTTGCCTCTCTGCACGCCCGTTCACGACGATGAACGAACGAAAGAACGAAAGAAAGAATGAAGAGTTGGTCGTTACCGAGTAGGAACGGGATGAGGCCGTCGACCGGCGCCAGCACCACCTCGGTGAACTCACCGCTGTCGTTTTGCAGCGGCGGGTTGTCGTTCTCTGGCAAGTCTCCGTTCACCACGGCCTGCACGACCGCACTCGTCGTGCTCGCGACCGCCATACCAAACTATTGCGTGTGTGTCGTGTCGTGTCGTGTCGCGTTGCGCGTTAGAAAACGAGAGTTTGCATCGCTTGTCACGAAGTGATGGTGATGATGGGGGCAGGGCGGGGCGTGCATACAATGAGCGAAGGGCTGACGTCGATGATCTCGGCCGTGTAGCCGGTCTCCTCCTTCAGCTCCCTCACCGCCGTGACTTCGGGCGCCTCGCCCGAGTCGCACAGCCCCGCCGGCAGCTCCAGGCAGTACATCGCTGCAGCCGCGGCCTTCAGGCCTCAGCGCGATACACCCAACAGAAGCGCAAGACTAAAGGTTGATGATGTGTACCCGTAGGAGGTCGGAACTGGCGGACGAGAATGAGCTGGGTCGGGTGGCCCGTCTTCTTCAGCGTCGCGATCACCTCAACGGCTGCACACCACCGCAAGGCCGCAGTCAGGCCTCTCCCTCTCTCTCTCTCTCTCCTGGTGACCAACTGATGGGGTGTGGGGGAGGGGTGGACCATCGACGGGGGCTTTGCGGTGGTTGGTCCGCTCGAGCGACTCCCACACGTGGCCCTTGCCCAGCGGGTCCACCTTTTGGGGGGGCAAGCACAGATTAGAGCGGGGGGGGCATGTAGAAGTCAGGAGAAGGACTGTACCCAGTGGACCTCCTTCATCTTCAGCCACTTGCCCTGCCATACGAGGTCCTCCTTGGCGACGTAGCACTTTGCGCTGCTCTTCTGCTGCGCTTGTGTGTCCTCCATTTTTTACGATTTGCTGCTAATCCCTTCTTCTGGAGGAAAGGCCGCATCCTTCAGTGAACAAGAAGAGGAAGAGGAAGGCGAAGACGTGGCCAAACACAAGAGCATGTTTGGGCAAAGTAGAGCTGAGTGTGTAGAACAAACACATTTAACGACCGTCGAGGTTTCACCCGAGTGAGGGCGTGCGGGGCTCTCGTGGCCTTCAGGACGAGCGCAGCTTCCTGGAGAAGAAGGAGGCCATCTCCTGCTGCAGAACCTTGAACAGCTTCAGCGACCCATTGAACTCGTCCGAGTACTTGCTCACTATAGTAGAGAGTGATGATGAGGGCGTCAGACACGATGACACGATGCCGAACATGAGAGAGACTTCGTTTCTTACCCGTTTCGACGGTGATGCCAATGGGGACGCTGATGTGGTAAAACTCGATGGCGTACAGGATCCTCTTCAGGTTCTCCTTGCAGATGTCCACCGACTCGTTGATGGCAGCCTCTCTCGTCTTCCTCGAGAGGACTCTCTTTTCTGTGATGTGCATGACATCAGCAACGTACGCACACAACACCACAACAAGAGCTTCGAAGCTCGGGCTTACCGGTGCCAAGGGGGATCTCCACGCCGAGCCACTTGAGGAAGGTGCACGTGTCGGCCCTGCCGAAGGGAGCGAACGTGAAGATGAGGCGCGCGGGCTTGACTCCTCTCTCCTTGCAGAGCTCGTCATAATCGCGCAGCAGCCAAATCGCCACGTCGACGTTGTACACCACCTGCGACGCTGCAGCGGCGGGCGCGGGAAAACAGCAACGAAGTGAGAAGAAAAAGAACGAAAGCGAAAGCGAACGACGCGCTGTTAGCGAAGGAGTGTGGGTGCGGTACTGAAGAAGGAAATGCCAGACTCGGTCTTCTGGAATAGCCTTTCGTGTTCGTCTTGCTTGTCCCTGTGACGCTCGGGAAGCACGATTCCACCAGCGACGAAGTTGTAGGGATGATCACGCAACACCTCCGCAGCCTCCGTCACATTGTAACCCGGGTACTGCATGTTCGAGGTGCTGTTGTTCGTACGGAAAACACCACAAACCCGGTTAGACGTGAGACGGCCGAAGAAGGTTATGAACGAATAGAGAGGGACCAAATGGGAGATGGGGTTCTGACCTGCCGCCGACGAGTACGAGGGCCTTGGCGTTGTACTCGTCCCAGGTCTCGTTGAGCCACTGGTCGAAGTTGTCCTTGGCGTGGTAGGCGACGGTGCGGTAGACGATGCTCTCGACGTGCGCCAACTCGTTGAGCATCTTGGCGAAGAGGCGAGGCGGGTGCGTGGTGGAGAAGGCGAAGGGTCGTTCGTTGCCGTCGCGACCCTCCTCCTCCTGAATCTCGTAGACGATGACGCCGTCGGGCCGCAGCTTCTTGATGGTGCCGGCAAGCTTCTCGGCGTACTGCTGGACCTTGTCCATGGTCATGATGCTACGCGGCGGAACGGTGCCAAAGAGGCACACGCCTCTCCTACTGCCATCGGCGAGCTTCGCCGGCAGATCGATGTCGGCGGTCTTGCGGAAGAGATTGGTCGAGGGCGATTGCAGGTCCTCTTCGATGCTAATTTCCTGGTCGGTGTCGAGATACCACATGATGATAACGAAAGAGAGTAAATCACGAAATTTACCGAGATGGGCTGGCCGATTTCAACGATTTGTGTTTGATCTTGAACGGGGGTGAGAGCCTCAGAGAGCCTATTTGAAAATCACGCGAGGAAGAGAGCCTTCCGTCGACGGTGCTGTTCGGATGGTCGCGCTACGCGGTGGAGGCGTAAACGGGGCTGGTCTGTGTCGAAACAAGAGAGTAAAGAAAACGCAAACGCAGGCAAGGTGTGGTTTTTATCCTGCTCCACCCTCATTCCCAGTAAATTCCCCATTTGCTAAATGCACTCTTTCTCAGGGTTCGGCCCGGTGCGTTGATTTGGGACTTGCAACTTGGCCTTGACGTCATTGGCACAACACGACACAATGACCTTGTTGCAGAGCTGTTAGTGCTCGGAGCAGCGAGTGTCATCTCCTCACCGCAGCGATGCCACGTCCACACTGCTTCCTCTGGAGAAAACCCATTTTTCTTGAGTTTCCAGAGTGTCCTGCGCGCCCGGAGGAATGCTAAATGAATGCTGCTCCGACTACCTGCTCAACTGGTGATCCCTCGTTGACGCTGTACCGTGCCCCTCGCCCTTCAAATTTTCGTCCTGTTTAATTGAGGAATCAATCAATTTAATTAAATGTGAATAACATTCATCCATCGCCAGAACGTCGGCGCGGATGGATGGGCTCACCTTTGCAGAAGACCACGACCCACTGCCAGGCCAGGGCGAAAAAATGGATGTCGGCGAAACCGAGGTGGCCAAGCGGTGCCGCGCGGCCGCGGCGCAGGGCCACGCCAGCGCGCAGCACCAGCTGGGCGGTATGCTCGAGGCCGGCAGCGAGGGCGTCGCACAGAGCTGGCCCGAAGCGGCCGCCTGGTACCGTCGGGCCGCCGACCAGGGCCACGCCGCGGCCCAGTACCGGCTGGCGCGGCTCTACTGGTACGGCCGGAGCGGCGAGGAGGCCCGGGAGACCCGCAAGAAGGCGGTCGAGTGGTACCGTCGGGCCGCCGACCAGGGTGACAGCGAGGCCCAGTACCTGATGAGCCGCTGGTGCCATACCAACACCGTGCAGGGCCGCCGCGAGGGCCTGGCCTGGCTGCGCCGAGCCGCCGGCCCTGGCGGTAACCACCCGATCGCCCGACGCAACCTGCCGGAGACCCTCATCGAGTGCGCCGGTGACGAGTGGGCCTCCGGCGCGCTGGCGACCGCGGCCGACATGCTCCGCGAGGCCTTCGAGCTGGGCGAGACCTGCAACGCGCCGTACCTCCTGGGCCGCCTCTACGACGACGAAGAGGGCGGCCTGGGCGACGCGGAGCTGGCGGCATCGTGGTACGCGCGGGCGGTGGACCACCCGCACGCGCGGTTCATGCTGGGTCGCCTCTACGACGAGGGCCGCGGGGTGGCGCAGGATCCGGCTGAGGCGGTCCGACTGTACCGACTGGCCGACGGCCCCGAGGCGCTGCTACGACTGGGCCGCCTGTTGGAGGAGGGCCGGGCCGGCGTGGCCGGCGATCACCTCGGCGAAGCGGCCGCACTGTACGCCCGGGCGGCCGACCACTGGGGCAGCGACGAGGCCCGGTGGCGGCTCGGCCGGCTCTACGCGACCGGTCGCGGCGTGGCCCGGGACGAGCGGCGGGCGGTGGCCGAGTTCGCCCGGGCGGCCGAGTTTGGATGCGGCGAGGCGCGGTTCGACCTGGGGCTCATGCACGCCGAAGGCCGCGGCACCGACGCCGACGACCGGCTCGCGCTCGACTGGTTCCGTCGGGCCGCGTCCAAGGGCCACGCCCGGGCGCAGTACAACGTGGGTCTCATGTACGAGAAGGGCCGCGCAGGCCTGGCCGGCGACCGGGAAGAGGCCATGCGCAGGTACGCCGCAGCCGCCGCCAGCGGCCATGCCGCTGCGCAGTCGCGCCTCAGTCGACTCTTCGCCGCCGCCGCCGCCGCCGAAACGAAGACGAAGCAGATGCCGACCGCAGCTGCGGCACTGTGGGAGAAGGCGGAGCAGGGCGATGCCCGGGCGCAGTACCGGGTGGGGCGGCTGTGCGAGCGGGGCGGCGACGGGGAGGCACAGAGCGACGCGCGGGCGGCTGAGTGGTTCGGGCGAAGCGCCGCGGGAGGCTATGCCAAGGCGCAGCTCGCGCTCGGGCGCATGCACGAGTACGGCCGATGCGGGGTGGAGCGGAGCGAGGCGAAGGCACTCGAGTGGTACCGGAGGGCGGCTGACCAGGGCCAGGCCAGGGCGCAGGAGATTCTTGCCCTGTGGTCAGCCAACCCATAATATTATTTATCTCTAATATTATTTATTTGTTTTTATTTATTTATAAAATAACTTTTGCTCGTACGCGCTTGTGTGTAGCACCAAGGCTTCAACCGTCGCTGAGCTTCTCGTTGATGGATTCGAGGATGGACTCGAGGAAGGTGGGCGGGATCGCGTCCTTGTCTTCCTTCTTCTTCTTGATCTCCCGTTCGGACACGTAGGAGAACTCGGCAAAGAGCCGCTCGTCCATCGACTCGGTCAGACCGTCGCTGCGCCCACACCAACCCCAGCCAGGCAGAGACACGTCAGGTTTTTCCCCCCTTTCGCAGCGAGTTCAAGAAGCGGCAGGTTGGGTACCCATCGATGGCCGAAAAGTCGAAGCTGTCGATGGCAGGCCGCTCCATGAACTCCTTGTCGACATTGCTTGTGTCCTCCTCTCCTTTCTGTGTGCGTGTGCGGTCGTGCGTGTGCGTGTGCGCAGGTCAGTGAGCATGGCATGTCGGTGGACGGCACGCGGGGAGCGATGAGCGTCGTACGACGTGGGGGATGATGGGCGGTTTGATCTTCTTGGCCGCCAGCTTGTCCCAGTCGATCGATTGGAAGAAGGGATGCTTCCGCACGCCTGGGGCAAATGATGGCCAATTATTTACGCCTCACGCTCAAGACGAAGAAGTACGAAGAACGAAAAACGACAAACAACGAACAGCAAAGAACGAAGAACAGAGGCTGTTTGGCGCAGTACGTACCCTTGCCGTTTAATCGCTTCCGCGGGTCCTTCTCGAGGAGCTGGAGAAGAAGGGGAAAACCATCAATTATGGATTGGTACATCAGGGTGAGCTCATCGTCGCGCGTACCTGGTTCATGATGGCCTTGGCGCTGGCAGGAATGTAGTTGGGGTAGTACGGGGTCTCGTTGAGAATGCGCTGTGTGGAGCGATAATGTCAACCATTAGGATCAATAAAACTGATGTTTCATGTGGGACACACAGACAAAGCCACAAAGGCCTCGTACCTGATACATCTGGCTCTGGTTACGGCAGGCAAACGGAGGCTGTTGACACGACACGCACGACACACGCAACACACGAGGAGCGTCAGATGAATGCGTTGAAGCCTGAACAGCACAGCACACTGGGTAGTTCTAGTACCTGGCTCGTGAACATCTCGTACATGATGGTGCCCAGCGACCACCAGTCGATCTCGTAGGAGTAGGACGTGCCCTTGATCACCTCCGGTGCGAGGTACTCGGGCGTGCCGCAAAACGTGGTCGTCTTGCCCTTCGTCGCCTGCAGGCCGGCCTTCGACAGCCCAAAGTCCGTCAATCTTATGTGCCCTGTCGACTCGAGCAAGACGTTCTCAGGCTTGAGATTGATGGTCATAGCGCCGAAGGGGAAGAAGAAGGTGATCAGATTGATTGCACAGACAACCCCGATAATAAGTAAGTAAATAAATAATAGTGCGTGGTTACGTGCGAGTACCTTGAGGTCGCGGTAGATGATGCCCAGCGAATGGAGATGCTCCAGCGCGAGCGTGATCTCGGCGGCGTAGAATCGCACCTGACGTCGGGGCAGGGTGAAGAAAAAATCGTGTCAGCCAGCACTCGAGCACTCACCAGAAATAACCGTGCGTGGCTGTGTGTGTTTGTTGGTCGTCGACCACAGGCTCTGAGGGTACCTTGTCTTCATCGAATCGCCGTTCCTTCTTGAGGTGGAAAAACAGCTCACCGCCGTTGACATAGTCTGCACGCGCGGACGATCAGCTAACTTTATGACCAGAGAAGCGCGGGCTGCAGGAGGGAGGTACCAAGGACGAAGTAGATTTTCTTTTCTGTCTGGAAGGCGAACTTGAGGTTCACCAGGAAGGGGTGGTTGTTGTTGATCAGGATGTTCTTCTCTGTCCGAGTGTGCTCCACCTCTGTTACGTTCATCCCATTTCCCAAGATTAGTAATAATATTCATAATGATAATAAAAAATGCATAAATAATAGAATACTCTCGAACAAAACAAAGCAGCGCACCTCCTTCATCCACGAGTTTCTTCTTCTTGAGCACCTTCATGGCGTAGACTTGGCCGGTGTCCTTCTTCCGCACTTGGAACACCTGTGTGTTGATTGAAAATCAAAGGCAACCCACAAACCAACAAACAAACAAACAAAAATAGAAGTAAGAGTGGGATGAGACGGCTGCAGCAGAAGATGAAGAGGAAAGGCGAGGCGGAGACACACGCGGCACCTTTCCAAAACTGCCTTCGCCGACGAGGTGCAAGATCTCGAAGTCGGACAGAGACACCTGCTTCTGTGTGGGCGAGGCGTGCACAATAGGAGCACGACGACCATTGAGCCAGCGCGACATTACTGCGTATACAAATAATAATAATAATGTGCTTATGGGCAGGGTCGTGCGTGTACGTACGATCTGGGTTTCGTAGAGGATCTGGAGGTGGAGCTGACCGCACACGAACTCATCGGCACGCCGCCTCTTCAGTGTATACCATCGTCTCAACTCCACGCCGGGTTCGAGCTCGGCCAACTGTATATCAACCTGGCCGCTGTGTTGCGTTGCGTTGCGTTGCGTTGCGTTGCGTTGCGTTGCGTTGCGTTGCGTTGCGTTGCGTTGCGTTGCGTTGAGGGTGAGATGGCACGATTCATGAAGCGAGATCGGGAGCGAGTACAGAAAGTCGTCGGGCGTGAAGGTGTCCTTGTCCCACATCTCGATGTGGATGACGCCCGATGGCGAATTCAGCACACTACCGACCCAAGGCGAGCAGAAGACGAGTCCGACGGAAGAGTCAGGCGGGAATGCACACAAGCGCCCAAATGCAACGCAACGAACAGAAGTGTGAACGTACAAGCTGAATTCTTGGTTCCACACGGGGTCCTTACGGTTGGCCAGCATGTGTGTGGTGTGGTCGTGTATGTAAGGAAAAATGTACAAGAATAATTCATAAAAAGGGAAGAAGGCGAAGAAGTAAAACGCACCAATGATTTCCGCTTGACCTTGGTCTTTGCCTTGCAGCTGTCGACGTGGATGATGCAGTAAGGGTCCTGGTGGTTCATCGTGCCACGGGGGAGGACAAGACAGACAATGGTGAGACTGAGATAAAACATAAAATAAAAAGAATAATAGAAAATAATAAGTATAAGTAGTAGAAGTGCATTGGGTGGCGTACACTGGTGCCGCCCATATCTTTGGCCGCGACGCCAGAGGCCTCTATCACTGTAAGATGGATAAGATGAGATTAAAATGGCCAATTCCACTCGGGGATTTTGGAACGAGATGATCATCGGGCCGTGGCAGCAAAGGTACCTTTTATCGTCAGCTTGGCCTGGGTAAAACTCATCCTTCAAGGGATTGGCGTTGCCTCCTACGATGCACGCGAGTTCTTTTCCGTTGGACGTTCTTCGTTCCTCTGTCGCAGGGCTACACGTTGGTCGGATGCCAAACATTCCGCACAATACCGAAAAACAAATTGCCTCCTATTCTTTCGCGCCATTTCGCGGCAACGTTGCGCCAAACACCCAACATAACTGGCGGCCGAATGAACTGACAGAGAGCCACATGCGCGGTGCTGCCCAACTGCTGATCGACATTTACCAACACATCAAGGTACGCCAAGCAGCAAAAGTTCTGAAATCGAGCGCAATTGAGCACTTATTCTTTGCGAGGCACCAATTTCATTACTTACAAGAGGCCACCTCCCAGGGCGTGTTTATTGAAGAACCACAGCAACCCCCCACCCTTTGGAGCCTCATGGAAGCACTCTGGCATACACATTCGACCGTGATCATCTCCGTCGCTGTAGCTGCCACCCTTGCTGTGGCTGCTGCCGTGTGGAGCTTCGTACGTGGCGGCAGCAAGCAGAGCGAAATCGAGCATCTTAAAAGCCTACGGAGAAAATCGAGGGCACCCGCACAGCAGGCCTCGGTAAGCCCCAAGCGACCAGCCTCGGGCGTGCAGGCGCAAGCCAAGACGCTGCTTCAGTCCACGACGTACGTCTCCTTCAAAGCGGCACAAACGCAAGAAGTAGGAAAGATCTGACCTGCTTCACTACTCCGCGCAGTGAGAAGCTCAAAGTAGACGAAGCGCAGAAGCTTATCAATGAAGCCATGACGCAGGCTAGGGTCGCCAAGACCTGCAGAGGAAGCGAGAGGATCGCTGCCTTCCAGCAGGCCATGCAGCTGACTCAGCGCGTGCTCAGCTTCGCTCTCCCCACCGACGCCACGTACGCACTTTCCTTGAAGTCCGCGCTTACTCGCCACGCCCACTCCGCGCCTCAATACACCACCAACGCGGTTTACTTACTTGGCGCCATCGCTTGTGGGGCGTACAGCCTTAGGGAGCGCATGACCAGGTACCACCACACGGCGCAGCAAGTACAGGAGTACTGCGAGAGCGCGGCCAAGGAGGCCTCGCCCAAGCAGCGCGAGAGCCCAGCACCGGCAAGGCCACTGTCTTCGCCCCCTAGGTCGCCGATCAAGCAGCAGGCGTCGCTCGGCACTCCTCCCTCTTCCTCCCCTCAAGGTATCTTCGCTTGCGCGTGCAACCCATGGATCGTAGTTTCGAATGGCGGGAAAAAGTAGCTGACTCCACATACTTGGCCTACAGAGCCTGCAGTCACTCCTCCTCCTGCTGCCCAATACAACGTTCCGGAATGGGCCTTCAATAGCGAGGCCGGTGATAAGGAGGACATGGCCGGTGAGGATGACCTCGACAAGCCGTGGTGGGAGCGAAGCGCCAAGGTGACCAGCCTCGACGTGCGCAACAAGGAGAACTGTGCCAACTTCGATCCGAAGGTGGTCCCGGCGAAGAAGCTGTCACTGGCCACCGTCAAGCGGCTAGCTGCCAGCACTCCGACCAAGCCGCGCGTGGCCAAGGACGCTGCGACCGCTACCCCGCCGCCCAAGACGACTGCCGCCAAGAAGCCCAGCAAAGCGGAAATGTACATTCCTTTGTCTCAGCCTCGATCCATGAGCGCGACCACTAAACGATCCGTGCATTCGTAATGTCGCAGTGCTTCGCCAGCGCCTAGTCGCACCAAGAAGGTGACCGCAACCGCCGCAGTTGCTACTCCTATTACGAGGAAGCGAGCTGAGCCTTCCGTATCCACCCCTGGAGCTACCAAGAGCAGGAAGAGCGCAGGTAAGCATCGCATCGACGTGGCCTGGGACCGCGACAACGTTGAACATCTCACTCTGCGTTGCGCTTTCTCTCGCGCTGCCAACATCTTGCACGCAGACGGGAAGGAGAACAAGGCCAGCAAGCCCGAAGACGCTGCCGCGTCCGACGACCAAAAGCCCGGCGATGAGTCACTCAAAGGCGTGGATCCGCGCTTGGTGGAGTTGATCGAAAACGAGATCGTGTCGGACTGCGCCAACGTTACCTGGGAGGACATCAGTACGTACTTGTCCGTACGGACTTGCTGCGCCTCGGCCAACGTTACCGTGCGGCTAACCATCACACTGGCCCCACCAACAGTGGGTTTGCACGGAGCGAAGAAGGCGCTCAAGGAGATGGTCATCCTGCCGATGGAGCGACCGGACTTGTTCGGCGGCCTCTGCGAGCCCGCTCGCGGTACGCACACGCCAATCGTTCTCGCTCTCGTACTCGGGGGAGAGATTTTGCAATCTCACAGGACTCCTCGTGTTCCTCGTTAGGCTTGCTTCTGTTCGGGCCTCCCGGTAATGGAAAGACAATGCTTGCCAAGGCACTTGCCAACAAGTCTAAGGCCACCTTCTTCAACATCTCGGCGTCTTCTCTTACCTCGAAATGGGTACGTGGCACCGCTGATTGCCTCTCGTTGAAGCACTGGCGTTCGCGCTGTTTCCCCCCCCCACTAGTTGCTCACCCGGCAACGTATGAGCGCAGATTGGCGAGGGAGAAAAGTTGGTGCGCGCCCTGTTTGCGGTCGCCAACGCACGACAGCCTTCGATCATCTTCATCGATGAGATCGATTCCCTTCTTTCGTCGCGGTACTCTTGTTCTCTTCCTCTTCCATGCTCCGTCGGTCACCTTCAGCTGACGCCGTCCTCTTCTCTCGCACAACAGGAGCAACTCCGAGCACGAGGCGTCGCGAAGGTTGAAGAACGAATTCCTCATTCGATTCGATGGCGTCACCTCTGCCGGCCCAGGCGAGCGAGTCATTGTGATGGGTACGCCGCACCCCACCTCTACCCTCTCCGTCTCGCCGTTCGCTGGCTTATCATTATCCCGCTTTCTCATTTCCCAGGCGCCACGAACCGCCCGGAGGACTTAGACGAGGCCGCGCGGCGAAGGCTCGTGAAGAGGATTTATGTGCCGCTGCCCGGAGCAGATGGACGCCGACACCTCATCAAGCACCTCATCAGGAACAATCACGTGGCGCTCAGCGACAGGGACCTCGACGATCTGGCCCACCTGACCGACGGCTATTCGGGCAGCGACCTCACCGCCCTGTGCAAGGAGTCCGCAATGGAGCCCCTGCGAGAGCTGGGTACGTCGTCCCACCCCGCCGCCGGCACCACCTCCACCAACACACACACTCTGGTTCGTCGCAGATGAGAGTTGCTGATCTATATATCATCAAATCTTTGTCACTGTGACACTCTTCATTGTGCGCACAGGCGATGGCCTGAAGCATGTGCGAAAGGAGGACATCCGGCCGGTGTCAAAAGCTGACTTTGTGCGCTGCACCAGAGGTACGCGCATCACTTACAGGTCAGAGACAACTGTCACAAGTTGCTTTCTTCAACTTACCCCCTTTCCTCTCGCGGGTGCAGTTGTACGTGCGTCTGTGTCGAAGGCGTCGCTGCAGGCCTTCGAGGACTGGAACGGCGAGTATGGTTGTACCGGCTAGCATTGTTGTCCGTCCTGTTGTGAAACAAAAAATAAAGAAGAAAAGAAACAAAAAAGAAACAGCAAATAATTCCTCGAACAGCTGATGATGCAAAAGAAATTAAAGCACACAAGCAAAATCAATACGCGACTGCAATCCGTACACAAAAGATGGAAAAGATATACAGAGAGGGAGGACGGAAGAAGAAGCGCGTGAACGCGCACCGCTCGAGGCCCATCCTCTTCGAAGCAGAGTCCGAAGAAGAAGAAGAGTTCGAGCTCGAGGTAGAGGTTAACAACCCCAAAAAGAACTGGACGTGTGCCGCGTGCACGTTTCGCAACAAGTACTCCTCTTCCTTCTGTACCCTGTGCCACCAGGGTAGGTTCACCCCCTCTAACGTGTTTTTTTGGTGGACGGATGTAGATACTTTTTGATTACAAACCAACCCATTCACATCTGATCTACAACGTTGAATCCTGCATGGCCTTTCCAATAGATCGCTACCAACAGTCGGAAAGCTCTCAAGAAGAAGAGGAGGAGCAGGGCGCCCTGCAATCCGAACTTCGGACGGTGCGCCAGCGTTTGGTGCCGAAGAAGAAACCCGACCACAACCCTTTCCGCGCCAAGAAGCGAGCACTCGACTCGCCGCCATCAACCCCCAAGAAAGCGTTGGTCCGCCTGGCAACGGCAAAGGCTACGACCACGACCACGGCCACTGTCACGTCGCCGTTCGTGTTTGGCGCGCCGCCGTCCTTGTCATCTACCACACCCGGCGGCCTCTTCGGCGTGTTTGACTCCTCAAAGATGGTGATCAAGTTCACCGGCGGCAGCGAAAACGAAACCATGAAGCAGGAGAAGAAGGAGAAAGAGAAGAATAAAGAGGAAGAGGAGGTGGAAGAGAGCACTAGTGACAAGGAGCAGCACAAGGGCGCCCAGGCGGTGTACGAGCTGTCCGTGCCCGAACTCGAGAAGCAGATCAAGGTGCGTGTGCGTGTGTCCTATGTCGTGTGCTGTGTCATGTGTGTCATGTATACATGCTTACTTTGGAGTGGAGCAGACGCTTGATCTGAGCCTGGTCTCGGTGAATGCCACAAAGGCGGACCTCACTGAGCGGCTGACCAGCGTTGAGGCCCAGATCACCGACCTCACCGATCGCAAGACCCTCCTGCAAGCTCTGTACTCTTACACACACGACACACGACACACACGACACACACACACACGACTCACGCCTTTTTAATAGGGTCAAGATCAGGAAGGACAACGAGCGGCTGGAAAAGGAGGCAAACCGAGCGCAGCAGCGGAGGACCGAGGTGGAGGACGCGATCGCGCAGGCGCGCCGCGAGCTCGAGGCACTGAGCCTCGAGAGGGACCAGCGCACTGAGGAGCTCGAGCGCGTCAAGCAGGAGAAGATCGAGATCAAGCAGCTGGCCGCCAAGAAGAAGGAAGTCGAAGGTGCGTACCGCCTCTCGCACTATCTTCACCGTCTGCCGCGTTCTTATCGTTGCGTGTCGTGTTGCGTGTGTCGTGTGTCGTGTCGCGCATCAGATTTGGCGTCGGAGCTGGAGAGCAGGAAGACGGCGGCGGATGCGCTGCGGGCGCGGCTGGAGGAGGCGGAGACCACCCTCGCGGCCGACCGGGAGAGTCTCGACGAGGAACGGCAGGCCCTGGCCGAGGAAAAGCTCAAGATGAACAACCTCCAGGAGTTTGCCTCGCGCAAGGTACCTTGCCACCGCACGCTCACGTAGCCCCGCGCGCAACGGTGGGCCGCAGTGCTCACCACCTGTGCGTGTCATGTCGTGTGCGTGTGTCGTGTGGCGTGTGTGTCGTGTGTACATGTGCTACGTGTGTCGTGCGCGCAGGTGAAGCTCAACGTCGGTGGCACCTACTTCCAGACCTCCCTCACCACGCTTACCCAAGTGCCCTCCATGTTTTCTGGTAATCGCTCTTTTCCAGAATCTGTGTTGCGTGTGTGCGTCGTGTTCGTTTTTTGTGCTCAAGCAACTTTCTCTCTCTTTCTTTTGTGTGTCCTTCACCAGCCATGTTCAGCGGCAAGTACCGGATGGAGGCCGACGAAGACGGCTGCTATTTTATCGGTATGTTCTGCCTAATACGCACGCCTCTTATATATTCCCCTTTTCCGCAGTTGTTTGTACAAACCAGGAAAACAAACCAACCAACGTGAGCACGTCCATGGCCTAACACTTCACCCTTTCCCCCTTGGCCCACCACCCCATTCCACACACCACTGCGCAGACAGGGATCCGACGCATTTTCGCTACGTGCTCAACTTTCTCCGGGACTCGCGCATCGAGGTACGCGTCGCCGCTCGTCTGGGTCTCGTGTCGTGTCGTGTTATGTGGTGGGGTCGTGTATCGTGATGGTGTGGCAATCGATGGTGACGACGATGATATGCCCATCGGGGTTTCGAGCGACTGGATTGACGCGCCGGAAACCGGATCTCGGTTGCTGAAGACGATGAGCTCATGTGTACGTGTGCTCATGCGGGGAGCAGGTGCCCGTGGAAGGAAGCAAGGCCCTCGTGCGGGAGCTGCTGGCCGAGGCCGAGTTCTACCAGGTGGAAGGGCTCATCGCCCTTCTCGCCCCTGATGATCACGACGCGGCCTCCGGCGGGGGAGCTCCCCCCTTCGCCTTCACCTTCTCGAGCTCCACGCCCGTGCGGCAGTTTGGCGGGCACGTCACCCACCTTGCCCCTCTGAGTCGCTCTTTCGCTTTCGCTTTCGTTCTTTTCTCCTTCTCTTTCTTCGTTATCTGTAGCGTGCTGGTGATCCCTCGCGCCAGCACCTCAGCCACCATCTGCCTTCTCCTTTTTCTGGTTTATTGCTACTGCGGCGCACGCCTGCTGACGTAACTCTCATCACGTACAACGCGGCGCACAACACAACCAGACCGAAGCCGCCGCCGCCGCCGCCTTCCACGAGCTTTGGCGCCAGCACCGTCCCCTCGTCCACCACCCGCGTTCACTCCCGGCCCTACATTTGATGGTGCCGTCGGCACACAACGCGGTCTGGGGCGTGCAGTGTTGGGACTGTGCCAGCGTTGTGGTGTAGGGGGAAAGGTGGTGGACAACTTCAGTGAAAGCGAACAAAGGGGTTATCATTAATGAAGAACAGGTGGAGATCGGTCCACAAGCTTTGAAAAGGAGAAGACCCGCGCCTTTTTTTATCCTCCTCTGTTATTGGTCGCACCGCTCTGCCAATTTCCTTTTCAAGGCCAACTTGGCGAGGTGCAAGCCAATTGCAACGTAGCACACAAAACGTAATGTCACCAACAAATAAAAACAAATAAACATATAAATTAGTTGGGGCCAAGGACAGAACAGAAACAGATCCACTCCGCCCACTGTTCACGCAGTTATCACGTCTTCAGTTCAACAGAAAGTTGACACTCGCCCGGTGGTGTGTCGCGGCCTGGTGGTGGTCTTCTTCGCCTTCACTGCTGCTGCTACTGCTGCCGCTGGAGTTGACGTGTCTGCTCTTCTCGCCGCTCAACTCGGGCGACTGCTGTGCTGGCGTCTTGTGCTGGATCTTGGCTCGCTTGTTGCTGTTGCTCCGCTTCTGTTGCTTCTTGTTGGTCTTCCGATGCGCCGGGTGGTCGCTTCCACCCTGTGCCGCCGCCAACAGCGCGCGCTTCTTTTCCTCCTTCTTCCGCTTGCGCATGTAGCGCATCCCGCACGCATTGCACAGCCTGGTTGCGCAGGTGGTATGTAGTGTGAGGCGCGTGCCGTGTGCCGTGTGCGTTGTGCGTTGTGTTGGGTGTGTTGGCAGGCCATTGGGACACGTACGTGGAGCTGCCCATGGGTCCGCTGCGCCACTGTACTCCAACGTCGGCACAAAGACGAACAGGTGTGAGCAAGCCCCAAACTCGCAAGAAAGATGCGGCGCACAAGGCGCAAAACTAAAAAAAGGGTGCGTGCTGGGGATCAAACCTGGATCGACGACTCGCGGCCGCACTCAACACACACTCGCGGGGCGTGGAACGACACCCCGAGAGGCAAGCCCCGCAGCTCTACGTGGGGGTGGGTTCGTCGTGTGTTTTTTGTGTGCTGTCAGCGTGTGCGTGTGCGTGTGCTGTGCGCATCTTTTTTGGCGTTTGATGCGCACCTGGGCTGCCCAAAGTTGGCGACGAGGAGTTGTTGTTGATCAGCTCTAGTAGTCCACTCGCGATAGCGGCCGGGACGGGGTTGTTGTTGTTATGGTGGTGGCTGGGGTGTGGTCCGTGGACCGACGAGGCGGAGGTGGCGGAGGTGGGCGGCGGGAGAGGGGTGGAGGGCCGGGGCGAGGACATGGGCGACGAGGCCGACGAGGGCGACGGGCAGGAGAAGTTCAATGTCGACGAGGCCGAGTGGCGCGGCACGGAGGAGAGCGAGCCCGGCGCGGACATGTGGTGTTGCGTTGAAGAAGAAGACGACGAGGGCGAGAAGGTGGTCGATGTGGACATCGATGGACAGAAGGTGGTGGCGTGACCCAACGGGGCTGCTGGCGACCAAGTCGAAGAAGGAGAAGAGGTCGACGACGTGGAGGACATCGAAACCGAGGTGGAGGCTTGGAGTTGGCCGAAGAAGAAGCCGGCGGCGGTCAGGCTCTCCCGGAGCGACGCGACATCCTCCGGTCGAAGATGTCCGCCGGCTTCACTTGCGCGCCGACTCGTCTGGGCCGCGTTCTCGCACACCAGGGACAGCTGGCAGCCGAGAGCGAAAGCGTGAGTGAGTACCTAACTTTTGCTGGCCATAGATGACAGAAGAAAACGAAAGCGAAAGCGAAAGCGAAGAGGATCAAAGAGCGAAAGCAACACTCCGCTTGGTACTGGTGAGTGTGTAATACCTGGAGCAAGAGGAGTTTGGTTGTAGGTGAGGGCGCAGGAGATGATGCTGGCGGTTGTTGGGCGAGTTGAGGGAGATGGGTCATGGTCTGTGGATGCGGTGGCGGAGAAGAAGACATTGGGTTGTGTCGCACTAGTGACCGGAGACCACGCTCGCTTGACCGGAGACGCTGCCGAAGAGAAAAAAGAAGAAGTGAACACCGGCGCGCTGTACTAGGGGTCCGCAACTGTGGCCGGAGAAGAACGGTCGTCCGCGCAAAGAACGAAAATGCCACGTCGGAGCTGTGTTGGTACGAAGAAGACTCGCCCACCAGGTGGAAGTTCTGTCGTTTTCGCTTTTGGCCTAGCGCTCCGGAGGTAAATACCGGGAAAGTGACCCCGCCCCAAAGCCCAAACACAATATTCCCTATTTCCCTGTTGCTGTCCACCACTTTTCTTGACTATGCGATCCAACCAATCGTGACGTGCAAAGGGAGCCAATTCATCAGCTCTATTGGAACCTCGGAAGCCGGTTGGTTGCGCGGAATCCCGTGCTTCTCGTTCTTCCCCGGATTAATCTCCAGCCACTTGGAGGTTTAGTAAAAGGCCGACGGTCGCTTTGGTTGGACCTAGATGAGTGCTGCCCACACATGTGTTGCATAGTGAGGCTGGAAGAAGAAAACCCCTGCTGCCTCCACGCAGACCAACACACTTCCAAAGACACATCGAGGAGGACCCAAGTGCCAGGAAGGCCAATGCGTGCACCTGGCAGTGACCACGCCTCTAGCGGCTTTGATCGTCCAGCGCAAGACGTGCTAGCGGCCAGCAAGAGCAACGACGACCACGTACAGCGCCAAAAGGTGGGTCCCCGCCGTTGCCTTCGCGTGCATGAGCGTGTGAGTTTGCGTGAGGCGATCCCTGCGCGTCTCGAGTTGGATAGGGCCGAACTCGACGACCTGCGCAAGAATCAGGTCCCTA